TAGTAAATAAGTCATATACTATTACCTATAGTATCGTAGAATAATTAGAATAATATTATTATACAATGTATGAACAATATTTCAAAAAATATGTTTTAAATTTTTTGCATTATAATTTGTTTATTATTATATTAATAATATATATATATATATAGTTAGTATTAGTATATATATATATATATATATTTAGTAGCTATAGTACACCTACACGCAATGGTAATAGAAAATACCTAGTTAGGAATAAAAATTAAAGTATAAGTAATAACTTTGCAATTTAAATACGAATTAAATTTGTTTTAACTAATATTATATACCACCATGCTAGTATTAGGTATACACGCAATGGTAATAGTGGTAAACATAATATAGGACCTGCCTGTAATATAACTATAATAGGTATATACATAAGGAAATAAGTTATAACTTTGCTATGTGGGTATATTAAAGTATTTAAACACGAAAAAGAAAAATACGAATTTAATTATTTTCAACCAAAGCTGTTACATAATATAATCATCAACATTAAGATCGATTTGTTGAGCCTAAAACTATTCGGTTACTGGTTAGAATTGAACGCCAATATATTATAATATTACATTCATATTATGTACGAATATCGAAATATGTATACTATCAATGATCATCAGAGGTTCTGTTTACATATCACATATAAATACGTTTTGTCAGTCCCAATTCTACATTATGCATTATTATTGTACATATTATTATAAGTATTAGGACATTATAGATAATCAAAACTCTACGCATGTGTTGCATTCATTAAATATATGTATATATACGTGGTAAGTATAAATATGAACATTCTAGTCTATATTATATATTAGCATATGGCTCCGGCAAGCACAAAATAATAAATAGGTAAATATATAAATTTCAATAGTATAAACTAGAATAATAGTCATAAAACAAATTAAAAGACTTAGTACTAATTAAATTATATAGTTATAAATAGTCAAAAGATAAAATTAAGAATTAARATTGGCAATAATAATTTGGTAACTCATAGTTTCATTGTTTTAATTGATATTTCCTTGGYCACAGTCACACGCACAGTTTTTTTTAYCCATTCGATATTACCCTCCTCACTGGCTGTGTGGATTTCCTCCATACCTCCTGAAAACTTCATTAACGGGCATTCTTCGACTATATGTTTAATAGTTTGCTTTTGTCCGCAGCTGCATAGAGGAGATTCCACCATTCCCCACTTATGTAATAGATAATTGCATTTTCCTTGGTTAGTTCTAATGCGATTTAGCGTGGTCCATAAGGCWCGTGGTAAGTTGAAACCTGGTACTTTTACCGTTGGCTCTTCAACCAGTGATGAATTTCGTACCTCACACTCTAGCCAAATCTTTCTCCATTCAGCCTGTAATTCCCTAGCGGTTATGTCTTCATCCCAAACAGGGCGTCTGGATTTTATCCTTTTATTTGGGTGGTGTTCYATGTCGTTATAGATAGGCAGTTCAATGTTCCTTTTAACTTTATTGATAATATTTTGTGTAGCTATTTGTCTACGGATTTCCGGAGGGCCAATGTTTGAGAGCACGGGAAGCCATTGTTGGGTGCTCCTTTAGTAGTTCATTATATTCTATAGAACCTATATATATAATATATATATTATTCATTATTATCAATATTACAATAATAGTTTTAAATGTTGAACTGGTTTTTGTTCTTCTGGATTTTGTGCTAAAACTTCGTACACATATAACCAAAAATAACATAWTTTGACCATTGGTAACCCCACTGGTTAAAATTTAAGAGTTTTTTCTAAAAATGAAACTTTAATAATTGTCTAATTTTGGATTTATTTGATTTAGGTTAGTCCACTGAGCTTATTTTTGCTAATTTAAGAATTTTTGCGAATGTGAATGACAATGATAGCAGAAGCGTTTGTCAGAGAAATCATAGCCGTGTACATAATCTATACAGAGGCGTACTCAGGAGTTTTTAACGGAGGGGGGGGGTTGAACATTTTGTTTTTTATCACTGAGACTTTGTCACCTTCTTTTTAAAAATATTAAATATGACTATGGTAATKTAATCTACAGAAAATAAATTACAAAAATAAAACATTTTTATTCAAAGAACAAAATTAAGTTTTCTTGGTATTTTAGCTATTTAATTTATAACTTTGTCGGCGTTAAGTGACACTTCTTACTTATCTTACTATATATTACTTACCTATCTAATCTTACAGTTCTTAACAGATAATGCATGCAATCGTTGTATATTGCATGTTGACAATTGACATACAATT